TGATGATGATGGTGTAAAACTCAGCAGTCGAGGTAACGTGGTTGTTCTTTTTGTGGCGAGCGCTTTCTGTGTGTTTGTCGAATGAGCGAGGATGCTCCTGAACGACGCTGCTGCTGCTGCTGGGCAGTTGGAGGCAGTCGACCCCCCAACAACAACGGAGGGATGGAGGAGCGACGCTCACAACAACGAGCGGAGCGCCCAGGGCGGCTAAAGCGCAGCAAGTTGGCACAGTAGGGTCGGGAGGGGGGGGAAGCACAGGTGGTGCATCGGGCACTCATCTCAGTCGGTCGACCCATGGCACCTGCTGGGTCTGCACCGTGACCTCCTGCACCTAGCTTGGCACAGTAGCGGGGTACAGCTGGTGGTGCATCTACCGATCATCTCAATCAATCAATCAACCAACCAACACATGGCACCTTCCCGAAACTTCCTCCTGTCAGCAGCGAGCCTTCGACATTTCACGTGGCCTCAAAGTGCGCCTGGCCTGGCACTTGCGCCCTGGTGATGTCGCCGTCGCATAAGTGGCGAATGACGGATATTGGTGATGAGCGAGACCCTAAAAGCACAACGACAACAACAACAACAACGCTGCTGTGCATTCGTCCGGCAGCTGGACCTCCAATGCAGCTCGGCAGAGGCACGGGCGGAGTTCGTGAGCTTCCTCCAAGTGCGGAATGGAGTCAACAAACAACATCAACAAATTATAATAATTCTTAGCTCTTTCGGTAAAGTCACCACGTTGAAGGGAAACAATAAAATAATAAAATATATATTAAATAATAAAAATTTACTCACGAAGTTTCGACCATAACACAAACGGTCATCGTCACTTGACTTGGAGGCACTTCCTTTATTAACGAGCACCCATCGGTATAATACGCACCTCACGTGGGTACACACTCTACATTCGCTCGCCTATACACAACTCTACGTGGGTACACACTATTACTATTGCTAGGCCATACACAACTCTACGTGGGTACACACTATTACTTTTGCTAGCCTATACACAACACTACGTGGGTACACACTATTACTGTTGCTAGGCTATACACAACTCTACGTGGGTACACAGTATCACTGTTGCTAGGCTATACACAACTCTACGTGGGTACACACTATCACTGTTGCTAGCCTATACACAACACTACCTGGGTACACACTATCACTGTTGCTAGGCTATACACAACTCTACGTGGGTACACACTATCACTGTTGTTAGGCTATACACAACTCTACGTGGGTACACACTATCACTGTTGCTAGGCTATACACAACTCTACGTGGGTACACACTATCACTGTTGCTAGGCTATACACAACACTACGTGGGTACACACTATCACTGTTGCTAGCCTATACACAACTCTACGTGGGTACACACTATTACTGTTGCTAGGCTATACACAACACTACGTGGGTACACACTATCACTGTTGCTAGGCTATACACACCACTACGTGGGTACACACTATCACTGTTGCTAGGCTATACACAACACTACGTGGGTACACACTATCATTGTTGCTAGCCTATACACAACACTACGTGGGTACACACTATCACTGTTGCTAGCCTATACACAACTCTACGTGGATACACACTATCACTGTTGCTAGCCTATACACAACTCTACGTGGGTACACACTATCACTGTTGCTAGCCTATACACAACACTAACCGTCTAACACTGACGGCACTGAACCGAGACAGCCAACAACAACTATCTAGCAGCGCAATGTCGAGCGAAGACGATAGCGACGATGGCGACGAGACGACAGGGACGATGGCGACGATCTTGAGTAGCTCCGACGGTTTTCCCACTCCAACAACAGCCACGAGGTCCCACACAGGGGCCGTTCTTATGCTATCAGCGTGGCCTCGCTCCGCCCCGGCCACGCCTCCTCTCTGGAACCTGCTAGCGGGTTCCCGAGGCTTTCCGATGGGCCACCCCTCTGTGACCTTTCCCCCCTAGATGTCCCCTCTAGTGTATATTGTGGCCTGCCGACTTCAATACCGCCGTACACTGCAGTTCACCTTTCTCACCAGCAGCCAGCACTATGCCACTAAACCATTAAAAACGATGGTCCCGTGTAAGTGTTAACATTTATTTCGTGTATCTACCGACGCATTCTCATGGAAACACACATACACACTACCCATAAGTTTCATACACACGCGGTGATGTTTTTCTGCTTATTTTTGTTCATTATTTGCAAATCCGAGAGCTCGGTGAATATCTACATTGCATCTATAAAACCTATTTGTACGCTTTCATTTAGTAAATGGATTTATAATACAATTGTTTATCGTGCTAAGTGTCTGGTTCTGCAGCTGCTGCTGCTGTGTTCTGCACAGCGATTTGAGATGAAAAGCTGTGATATAAATGCAATTATTTATGAATTATAGCGTCATTACTTTTTCGACGTTTAGACCGCGTGTCAAGTGTCGCCAGAACGCTACCGTTGTTACGTTATTCGCTTAACGCGTTTGCGACTCGAAACGGCACTTTTTCTTTAAGGAACGCATCTCCCGTGTTAAATGAGGACCACCTATACGTATGTTTATTACTAACTATGAGAAGCCATTGCTGCTGTGCTGTCGTCATAGCAGGAGGCTTTTGCCAACTATTAGTTCAGCACACCAGTGTGCTGGAGAGTAAGCACCACAACATTTGAGTATGACATTTCGCCGGTAATTAGATTCTTGCCACTATTACCATTGCTACTCTTTATATTTTATTTTATCAGGTAAAGCCCCTCACTGGGCTGCTATTTAGCTCTTTTTTTTAGAATCGACCTGACTATCATAAATTATAGCTCAACGAAGTGGCTCATCAACATCATCACGTGGAAATATACAGCAGCCAAATGCTCTGAACGCGTGAAGTTGATGCCGATTCATAACAGAGGTGTTTTGGGTTAGATCGCGTAGACCTGAATGTCTGTCGTTAAACCTGCCTCCACTCAACACAGCCAATCAGTAAGTGGTTTGTCACGTAAACAAAACGTAGCCAATTCGTTTGCTAGATTAGCACTACACCGGTCGTTATGTGTTGGAAAGTAAACTCAGTACAACATTTACAATGTGAGTACAATTGATAGGAGAGTACATTTAAAAGTCGGAGCGATTTGAAATGAACCGTGGTATTCGTTAATGCCACCTCTGTCTGTTGTTATTGTGGTTGTCTTATTAAACGTCTTCTGAACTTCTGCTTCTTCTGCGGTTTCAATGAAAAGCAATGTGTATTCTTTACACGGTAATTCCCATTCGCTGCAAAACTGAACTTAATTCTTTATGTTAACCGGTTAAATAGTCATTTTTCATCTTCTTTTGTACGAATTCATAGTTCGGATTCATGGTTCGATGGTAGCGTCGCTGCATGAGATGTTTACTTTTGACGTCGGCCGCAGTCCAAACTTGCCATTGAACTATTGCCTCTCGTTGGAAGGCAATCCTGGCCAAACGTGAGGGTGTCTCATCATCACCGTGGCTAATTTCATCATCGCCATCATCATCATCATCAATCACCGCACGTGGGGATTTAAAGCAGCGGCCCAATTTTATTTAAGCGCGCGTTGATTCTCAAATGTGGAGGCGAAGGGCAAAAGCGGATGGTTCCCCATAGAACATAACACGCGACCAGCATGGTCAAGATGACGCAAACTCGATATTGGCATCGTCAGGCTCCGGGAACGAACCCTTCGCCTCCTGCGTAGCCAGGCAAGGGATAGAACATTTGCTCGCCACGGTGGCACCGGTGCAGCCGGTCACCCAGCTGGTTTCGTTTGGCAACAGCGCGCAGACACCACCAATGGGGAGCGATTGTTGGGGTCGGTGGTGGAGAGGAGGGGGCCAGTCAGCAGCCAGCTACGCATATCACGTAGCTGGCTGCTGACGGCACAGATGTATGCTTCAGTAGCCTTATGATTTAGAACAAATCATGTCACGGCTGTTAGCGTCTAATCTTCAAACGGTTCTGCCATCGGCAAACTTTACACTCATCAGAATCGGAATATTTATTTATAACCGATGGAGGAATCAGATGGGCTATGACGCTCTTTATGACAGATGTCAAGTAGGGGGCACGGGGTCAGGATGTGAGAATAACAAACAATACATAAAAATATGATAGGAGTGCAAAGTATAAGAAAGGTGAGCAAATCACTTTAACAAATATACAAATTAAACTAAACCATTTTTGACTTAAAGCTTTCGTGACTGCAGGAATTTGCATTATTTAGGTCTTTCGGTAAAGTCACGTAGATAGGTTCAAAGAAAATAACAAAAAAATTAAGCTGAAAACTACGACGTTTAAATTTGTATTGCACCAGGTTAGGCCCACTGAGCAATTCGCTTCTCTTTCAGAAGCGACCTACCCACAAATGAAAGCTCAAAGAAATTGGCTTATCATGTGCAACCAAATAATCTGAATACTCTGAATTGCATGTTTATAAATGTGGAGGGGGAAAACCGGAGGATGCGGAGAAAAAAATCCACACGACCACGGGGAGATTGAGAGACATGGCAAACTCCAAACGTACGACAGGCTTCAGGGTCGGGATAGAACCCCCGACCTGCATACCAGGCGAGGAAAATAACATCGCGCCACATCGATGTGAGTGCCCAGGTTTGGCAGCAGGGGGAAATAAACCGTGGGTAAAAATCTGTCATGCGTAGCCTACACAGTGATGCACCACCGCTACCATGTGCATCCTCGCCACTTAGGATGATGGTCCAGGTGTGTATGTATGTAAGCATGCTGAACTTCCTTTGCCCTGCACGTAGCTAACTTCTCTCCTCTGACGAACATGTACCCGTCAGAGGAGAGAATTTGGAAAGAGCCTTTAAATATCGATTTAAATCTTTCGTGACTGCAAGGATTCATCTTCTTTGGTTCTTTCGGTAAAATCACGTAGAATTCGGATAAAATAATAAAATAACACAATAAAATTCTCACGACGAAGACGGCCGCTTGCGTTGTGGCCGAAACGTCGTGAGAATTTTATTGTGTTATTTTATTATTTTATTCTAATTCTACGTGACTTTACCGAAAGAACCAAAGAAGAAAAAAGCCTTCAAATATTTTGAAGCAAATATTGCAGAGGGTGAAGATGCGAGATTCACAAGCAGAATATGTATTTATAATGGAGGAATGAGATTAAAACTAGGGTGGCCATTGCAACTTGAATGTTGGGAAAATCTACGGCAGGTAAACAAATCCATCGAGTTCCCAAAATCTACCCACTGTGAACGATAGTATTATCTGCAGAATTATAAAGCTGTGCTCATTGGATATCCAGATCAGGTGGAACAAGATTTGAAGATACTCCTTGATTCCAGAACTGACCGTTACGACACTTGATTGCGAAGCAAAAAGACTGGACACGGACTGGATTCAGATTGCAACCAGATCGTTGCGCGCTAGTTAGTCATAACCAGATCGAAAAGAACCGGATGAGATATAATCAGATTAAGATTGGATGGTGCGACATTAGACGCAAGCATCTGTGAACCGACTGGAGCATCTGCGAACCGAATGGAGCATCTGTGAACCGACTGGAGCATCTGTAAACCGACTGGAGCATATGTTAATCGACTGGAGCATCTTTTAACCGACTGGGGCATCTGTGAACCGACTAGAGCATCTGTGAACCGACTGGAGCATCTGTGAACCGACTGGAGCATCTGTAAACCGACTGGAGCATATGTTAATCGACTGGAGCATCTTTTAACCGACTGGGGCATCTGTGAACCGACTAGAGCATCTGTGAACCGACTGGAGCATCTGCGAACCGAATGGAGCATGTGTGAATCGACTGGAGCATCTGTGAACGCACTGGAGCATCTGTGAACCGACTGGAGCATCTTTTAACCGACTGGAGCATCTGTGAAGCGACTGGAGCATCTTTTAACCGACTGGAGCATATGTGAACCGACTGAAGCATCTGTGCAAAAAAATATCTTCATAGCCCAGCGGATTCCCCCTCCAGTCTAAACAAAAAAAAACAATGCCGATTACTGATTATGGCAACTCTGCTTTTGCCATAGAGATCTTCCGACGCACCATCTTGAGGACTCCACGACGGATCGCGTCCGTGCGGAGTCCATAGACGATGGGATTCAGGACCGGCGGGATGACGTACTGCAGCGACTGCAGGGGCACGCGCACCTCGCGCACGATCCCCGAGAAGAACTGGAGGCCGCTGCCGATGGTGAACAATATGGAGCCGAAGTAGATGCAGATGATGACGAGGTGGGTCATGCACGTCTGGAACGCCCGCTGGTTCTGCCGGAGGCTCCTCTTGCGAAACTCGAACAGGATGAGGCAGTAGGCGAGCGCCACCACGAGCAGGGGTAAAATGATGGCCACGAACACGTTGGCGTACACGTACACGATGTTATAGTAGACGTCGCTGCAAGCCAGGTTGGTGAGCACCATGAAGTCGCAGTTGGGCGCGAACGTCACCAGCGGCCTGCAGAAGCTCAGACGCAGCACCATGCCCACGTAGCCCACGCCCGGCACGACCGAGAAGGCCACGATGGCCAGGAACGCCTTGGTGACACGCGCGTTCGACACAAAGCTGTGGTAGCGTAGCGGCTGCCCGATGGCAATGAAGCGGTCGACGGACATGAGGGCCAGGACGTAGCCCTGCATTCTAATGGTCACGTGGAGGAAGAACATCTGAGTCATGCACTCGGACAGGGACACATTGTTGTAGGACATGAGGTTGGTCATGATCCTCGGCAGGGAGTTTGTGGTCTCTACCACGTCCGTGACGGACAGCAGGGCCATGAGCACGTACATCGGCTTGTGCAGGTTCGACTCCCGGTAGATGACAAGGCACAGCAGAAGGTTGCCGACCACCGTGACGAGGTAGACGAGGAGGATGATAATGAAGGCGAAATGCCGGAAGCTCGCAGGCTCCCGGAATGGCGTGGCCATGAGGATGGAGGTGAACGATGGTGGGGAGCTGTTGGTGGACAGGTTTGCCTCCATCAGGGGTGGGGGGGGGGGGGGGGGACCACCTTTGGGACAAAGCAAGAAAACATTGGAAGCGTCTTCCTCCGCGAAAAGAATGATACGAGCACACAGCAGGGTCCTGAAGGATGTATGTGAGTGTGTGTGTGTGTGACGGTCGTGAATGAAACACACACGGGCAAGCGAAAATGACGGTGCAAACGTGTGGGGAGCAAGAGACGCCAGATAGAACATAGCAGGTGCAAGTAAGCACCGTGTTTCGGTCCGATGGGAACATTCAAAAAAGGGGTGTGCGGGGGCAGAGCGAAGGGAAGGAACCACGCTGATGACGAGCTTCGAAGAGGTTCCAACACGGAAATATGTTTTTACCGAACACAATTATAGCGAATGGAATATTTAATAGGAGAAAGGAGACACTTCTGAGACTACAGAAGAGAGTTAGAGGAACTGAAGCGGTCCTATAGGCAAAGAAATTCGGTAGACAACCTGTTTAATCGACCTCAGAGCTCAGCCGATCTGCGACAGAGATTTTACCTTGCCACCTTCAAACTGTTCATCAATATGACAAGATGGTAGATGCACCTTTGTATGGCTATATGGGAGATGCATCTTTCGTATGGCTATATGGGGAATGCACCTTTCGTAAGGCTATATGGGAAATGCACCTTTTGTATGGTGTAATGGGAAATGCACCTTTCGTGTAACTATATGGGAGATGCACCTTTTGTTTGGCTTTATCGGAGATGAGCCTTTTGTATGGCTATATAAGAAATGCACCTTTTGCATGGCTATATGGGAGATGCATATTCAATATGGCTATATGGGAGATGCAGCTTTCATATGGCTATATGGAAGATGTACATTTTGTTTGGCTAATATGGGAGGTGTAGCTTTTGTTTGGCCATAGACTAACGTTGCCCATGGACTCACCTTGGCCATAGACTTTCACTGCCCGCAGACATTGCCCAGACTCATATTGCACAAATACTAACATTGCACAAATACTAACATTACCCAACGACTAACATTGCCCAAAGACTAACATTGCCCAAATACTTAACATTGCCCAAAGACTAACATTGCCCAAAGACTAACATTGCCCAGAGACTAACATTGCTCAAAGACTAACATTGCCCAAAGACTAACATTGCCCATAGACTACCATTGCCCATCGACTCGCAAATTCTTGAGTGAAATCATGAACCGCCAACAGCAGGCACCAATACACACGTTTCAATTGCTCTAATATCTGAGATTCATCGGTAATTGTAATCCATCATTTAACAGGCAACTTCAATCAAAGTGAAATACTCAAGTGCAATGCATCTTCTTCTAAGCCTTGAGAGATTTTGAAATATATAGTCTGCAATTAGTATTAAAAGCTAGGAGTCTAATTGCTGTAATGGACTCTTTGGATTTTCTCCCTCCATGAGCTGATTTGCTCTGCCGATCCTCAAGTCACATCCACTATCCTAACATATGGAACTGACAAAGACCCCCGTATAGACTTAACAGACTATTGGGGCAAATGCTGTTAGCGAGTACCTATCAAGGCCGATACGGTACACGAGGTGGTGGGTGACCAACACCACGCCCGACCGCCTTTGTCTCCCTAGTAGCGATGTTTACACACAAGGTACTCATTTGAGACTGAGTCAACCTAGAGGAGGCCCAGGCCCGGTTCAGATGATTAGTAGCGCAGTGCGCTTAACCGCTACACTGCCGCTCACCGTTACATACAGACCCATTGTCATATAGACTCGCATGATCTAATGACTTATATATAGATACAGATTCTGATATACGGACCCATAGAGTCACATACACTCACATGATCCATAGACTTAGAGAGAGATGCATAGACTGATAAACAGACCTCCAGAATAACAGAAACTGACATGATCTATAGACTTAGATTCAGATATATAAACTGATACACAGACCAATAGAGTTACATACACTCACATGATCCATAGACTTGCCCAGACATCCATGATCCATAGACTTATATATACATACATAGACTGATGGACAGAGCTATAGAGTCACATACACTCACATGATCCATTGACTTATATATATAGATACATACTCTGATATACGGACCCATAGAGTCACATACACTCACATAACCCATAGATTTTTCAGACATCCATAGAGTCACTTACACTCACATGATCCATAAACGTAGATAGATATACATAGACTGACATACAGACCTATAGTGCCACATACACTCACATGATCCATAGATTTACCCAGACATCCATAGAGTCACATACACTCACATGGTCCGTAGACTTATATATAGATAAATACTCTGATATACGGACCCATAGAGTCGCATACACTCACATAACCCATATATTTTTCAGACATCCGTAGAGTCACTTACACTCACATGATCCAAAATCTTAGATAGATATACATAGACTGACATACAGACCTATAGAGCCACATACACTCACATGATCCATAGACTTACTCAGACATCCATAGAGTCACATACACTCACATGGTCCATCGATGTATATATATAGATACATAGACTGATGTACACATCAATAGAGGCACGTCCACTCACATAATCCATTGACTTATATATCGATACATACTCTGATATACGGACCCATAAAGTCACGTACACTCACATAACCCATAGATTTTTCAGACATCCATAGAGTCACATACACTCACATGATCCATAAACTTAGATAGATATACATAGACTGGCATACAGACCTATAGAGCCACATACACTCACATGATCCATAGACTTACCCAGACATCCATAGAGTTACACACACTCACATGATCCATAAACTTAGAGAATTATAGACTGATATACAGATCCACAGAGGCACATACACTCACATGATTCATAGACTTACCCAGACATCCATAGAGTCACATACACTCACATGATCCATCGACGTATATATAGATACATAGACTGATGTACACACCCATAAAATCACAAACACTCACATGATCTATTGACTAATATATAGAGACATACTCTGATAATCGGCCCCATAGAGTCACATACACTCACATGATCCATAGACTTATAGATCAATAGACTCATATACAGACCCATAGAGTCACAAACAATCACATGATCCATTGAATTAGATAGGGATACATACTATGATATGCGGACCCATAGAGGCACATACACTCACATAACCCATATACTTACCCAGACATCCATAGAGGCATATACACTCACTCGATCCATAGACTTAGATTGTGATCTATAGACTGATATACAGACCCAGAGGCATATACACTCACATGATCCATAGACTTACCCAGACATCCATAGAGTCACATACACTCACATGTTCCACCGATGTATATATATAGATACATGGACTGATGTACACACCCATAGAGGCACGTACACTCACATGATCCATAGACTTAGATAGAGACATATAGACTCATATACAGACCCACAGAGGCACATATAACTCACATGATCCATAGATTTACACAGACATCCATAGAGTCACTTACACTCACATGATCTATCGATGTATATATAGATACATAGACTGATATACAGACCCATAGAGTCACATACACTCACATGATCCATAGACTTAGATAGAGATCGATAGACTCATATACAGACCTATGGAGACACATACACTCATATCACCCATAGATTTGCACATACATCCATAGATTCACTTACACTCACATGATCCATTGACTTAGATAGAGATCGATAGACTCATATACAGACCTACAGAGTCACATACAATCACATGATCCGTAGACTTATATATAGATACATAGACTGATGTACACACCCATAGAGGCACGTCCACTCACATGATCCATTGACTTAGATAGAGATTCATAGACTGATAAACAGACCAATAGAATCACACACACTCACATGATCCATAGACGTGTAGATCTATAGACTCATATACAGACATATAGAGCCAAATACACTCATATCGCCCATAGATTTACACAGACATCCATAGAGTCACATACAATCACATGATCCATTTACTTAGATAGATATGTATAGACTGACATACAGACCCATAGAGGCACGTACACTCACATGATCCATAAACTTAGATAGATATACATAGACTGATATGCGGACCCATAGAGGCATATACACTCACATGATCCACCGATATATATATAGATTTATAGACTTATGTACACACCCATAGAGGCACGTACAATCACATGATCCATAGACTTAGATAGAGACATATAGACTCATATACAGACCCACAGAGGCACATACACTCACATGATCCATAGATTTGCACAGACATCTATATGATCTATATTATCCATCGACGTATATATAGATACATAGACTGATATACAGAGCCATAGAGTCGCATACACTCACATGATCCATAGACTTATAGATCTATAGACTCATATACAGACCTATAGAGTCACATACGCTCATATCACCCATAGATTTGCACAGACATCCATAGAGTCACCTACACTCACATGATCCATTGACTTAGATAGAGATCGATAGACTCATATACAGACCTACAGAGTCACATACAATCACATGATCCGTAGACTTGTATATAGATACATAGACTGATGTACACACCCATAGAGGCACGTTCATTCACATGATCCATTGACATAGATAGAGATTCATAGACTGATAAACAGACCCATAGAATCACACACACTCACATGATCCATAGACTTATAGATCTATAGACTCATAAACAGACCTATAGAGCCACATACACTCATATCACCCATAGATTTGCACAGACATCCATAGAGTCACATACAATCACATGATCCATTTACTTAGATAGATATGTATAGACTAACATACAGACCCATAGAGGCACGGACACTCACATCATCCATAAACTTAGATAGATATACATAGACTGATATCCGGACCCATAGAGGCACGTACAATCACATGATCCATAGACTTAGATAGAGACATATAGACTCATATATAGACCCACAGAGGCACATA